AACCGAGAGCCCAAGGAAACAGGAAGCAGAAGCTGAAGAGATAAGGAGCACAGGAAGCAGAACTGCCTCAATCTCAAAGGGTAGGGCCACAACCTCTGGAGTCTCAAAGGGTGGAACCACGGCTTGCTGGGTCTCAAAGGGTGGGGCCTTGGCCTCCTAGGTTTTAAAGAGTCAGATCTTCACACACTTGGTTCTGGAATGTGGTGTTGGCTTTCATGAGTGCCAGTGGGATGGGGCTGGATCCACAGCCCAGAGCTGAGAAGCAGGGCTGCCACGACCAAAGGGCAGAAGAATGGGGCCTGCCAGGACTGAGGGGGTTGGGTCGCCACTCAGACAGACTGGGAGAATAATCATTGCCGTCCAGTTGATTCCAACTCATAGTGACCCTACAGAACTGAGTAGAACTGCCCCATAAGGTTTCCAAGAAGCGGCTGGTGGATTCGAACTGCCGACCTTTTGGTTAGCAGCCACTTAACCACTGCGCCACCAGGCTCTGACTAGGAAAATGGGGCTGCCCAAATCTGAGGGAGCAGAGTTGCTTTCCCAGTGGTCTTGGAAGGCAGAGCTGAAGCCCAAGGCCGAGGGGCCTCCACCCAGAATCCAGAAAGTGTGGCCAACACCCAGAGTCTGGAGGGTAGGTCTATTGCTTAAATGGTCTCTGAGAACAGAGGATTATTTTCAAGCCTTAAGAGCTAATATAATGTGTTCTGCTGACCTGCTTGGTGCCCATTATCCCTTCTTTCCTTCCAGTTTTTCCCATGTGTAATGGAAATGTCTACCTTGTGTCTGTCCCACTACCTTGGAAGAAAATAACTTGTATTCTAGTTTCACAAATGAAGAGGAGTTTTACCCCAGGATGGAATTTGGACTTAAGACTTTTGTTTAATTGTTGATTTAAGATTTTTGGGATGATATGATGGGGTGAATGTGTTTTACATGTGGCAAGGACATGAATTTTGGGGGGCCAAAGGGTGGAACATTATGGATTGAATTGTGTCCCCAAAAAATGTGTGTCAATGTGGCTAGGCCATGATTCCCAGTATTGTGTGGTTGTCCTCCATTTTGTGATCTTCTTCCAAAGCAGATTTGTTCTTCTGGCAGTCCATAATATATTCAATATTCTTCACCAACATCAAAATTCAGAGGCATCAATTCTTATTTGGTCTTCTTATTCATTGTCCAGCTTTCGCATGCATATGAGGCAATTAAAAATACTATGGCTTGGGTCAGGTGCACCTTAGTCCTCAAAGTGACTTCTTTGCTTTTTAACACTTTAAAGAGGTCTTTTGCAGCAGATTTGCCCAATGCAATATGTTGTTTGATTTCTTGACTACTGCTTCCAAGGGTTTTGATTGTGGATTCAAGTAAAAGGGAATCCTTGACAACTTCAGTCTTTTCTCCATTTATCATGATGTTGCTTATTGGTCCAGTTGTCAGGATTTTTGTTTCTTTTACGTTGAGGAGTAATCCATACTGAAGGCTGTAGTCTTTGGTCTTCAACAGTAAGTGCTTCAAGTCCTCTTCGCTTTCAGCAAGCAAGGTTGTGTCATCTGGATATCACAGGTTGTTAATAAGGCTTCCACCAATTCTGTTGCTGTGTTTTTCTTCATACAGTCCAGTTTCTCAGATTATTTGGTCAGCATACAGATTGAATAAGTATGGTGAAAGGATACAACCCTGACGTGCACCTTTTCTGATTTTAAACCATGCAGTATCCTCTTGTTATGTTTGAACAACTGCCTCTTTAGTCTATGTACAGGTTGCTCATGAACAAAATTATGTGTTCTGGAGTTCCCATTCTTCACAGTGTTATCCATAATTTGTTATGATCCACACAGTCAAATGCCTTTGCATAGTCAAATAAAATACGGGTAAACATCTTTCTGATATTCTCTGCTTTCAACTAGGATCCATCTGACATCAGCAGTGATATCCCGCATTTCATGTCCTCTTCTGAATCCAGCCTGAATTTCTGGCAGTTCCCTGTCGATGTACTGCTGCAACCATTTCTGAATGATTTTCAGCCGAATTTTACCTGTGTATGATATTAATGATATTGCTCAATAATTTCCACATTCTGTTAGATTGCCTTTCTTTGGAATGGACACAACTATGGATCTCTTCCAGTCGGTTGGCCAGGTAGCTGTCTTCCCAATTTCTTGGCATAGACGAGTGAGCACTTCCAGCATTTTATCCATTTGTTGAAACATCTCAGTTGGTATTCCTTCGATTCCTGGAGCCCTGTTTTTCATCAGTGTCTTCAGTGCAGTTTGGACTTCTTCCTTCAGTACCATTGGTTCTTAATCATATGCTACCTCCTGAAATGTCTGAACATCGACAGATCCTTTTTGGTACAGTGACCCTATTTATTCCTTCCATCCTCTTTTGATGCTTCCTGCGTCATTCAGTATTTTGCCCATAGAATCCTCCAGTATTCCAACTGGAGGCTTGAATTTTTTCTTCAGTTCTTTCAGCTTGAGAAATGCCGAGCGTGTTCTTCCCTTTTGGTTTTCTAACTCCAAGTCTTTGCACATTTCATTATAATACTTTGCTTTGTCTTCTAGAGCTGCCTTTTGAAATCTGTTCAGCTCTTTTACGTGATCATTTCTTCAGTCTGAGTTTCTTCTGACATCGATTTTGGTCTTTCCTTTCTTTCCTGGCTTTTTAATTATCTTTTGCTTTCTTCATGTATGATATCTTTGATGTCATCCCACAACTCATCTGGTCTTTGATCATTAATATTCTATGCATCAAATCTGTTTTTGAGATGGTCTCTAAATTCAGGTGGAATATACTCAAGTTAGTACTTTGGCTCTCTTAGAATTGTTTTAATTTTCTTCAGCGTCATCTTGAACTTGCATAAGAGCAATTGATGGTCTGTTCTGCAGTCGGCCCCTGGCCTTGTTCTGACTGATGATATTGAGCTTCTTCATTGTCTCTTTCCACAAATGTAGACAGTTTGATTCCTGTATTCCATCTGGCAAGGTCCACATGCATAGTCACCATTTATGTTGTTGAAAATAGATATCTGCAATGAATAAGTCATTGATCTTGCAAAATTCTATGAGATCTTCAGCATCCTTTCTCTCACCAAGGCCATATTTTCCAACTCCTGATCCTTCTTTGTTTCCAGCTTTCCCATTCCAGTCACCAGTAATTATCATTGCATCTTGATTGTATGTTTGGTCAATTTCAGACTGCAGAAGTTGGTAAAAAAAATCTTTAGTTTTGTCGTCTTTGGCATCAGTGGTTGGTGTGTAAATTTCAATAGTAGTCGTATTGACTTGTCTTCCTTGTAGGCGTATGGATATTATCCTATTACTGACAGCATTGTATTTCAGAAGAGATCTTGAAATGTTCTTTTTGACAATGCGATGCCATTCCTCTTTCAATTTGTCATTCCTGGCAAAGTAGACCATATGAGTGTCTGATTAAAAATGGCCGTTACCAGTCTGTTTCAGCTCACTAATGCCTAGGATATTGATGTTTATGCGTTCCATTTCATTTTTGACAACTTCCAATTTTTCTAGATTCATACTTCATACATTCTACATTCCGATTGTTAATGGATGTTTACAGCTGTTTTTTTCTCATTTAGAGTCGTGCCACATCAGCAAATGTAGGTCCTGAAAGCTTTACTCCATCCATGTCATTAAAGTTGACTCTACTTTGAGGAGGAAACTCTTCCCCAGTCGTCTTTTGAGTGTCTTCCAACCTGAGGGGCTGATGTTCCCCTACTATATCAGACAGTGTTCCCCTCCTATTCATAAGGTTTTCACTGGCCAGTTCTTTTAAGAAGTAGATTACCAGGTTGTTCTTCTTAGTCTGTCTTAGTCTGGATACTCCACCCAAACCTGTCCACCATGGGTGACCCTGCCAGTATTTGAAATACCACTGGCATAGCTTCCACCATCATAGCATAACACAGGCCACCACAGTATGACAAACTGACAGATGAGTGGTGGTAGCACATTGTAAGTGCTATATAAATATTGGCTGTTATTACTTGTTTTTGTATCCTATCTGATAGTCACTATGTTTGGGCTGGCAAGTCTAGTCTATTTACATTAATTGTAGATACTGATACATTTAAAACTCGTTCCTACCTTGTTTCATTTTTTTTTCTATTTGTCCTATTATTTTGTGATTCTTATATCTTGCATTTTTATTAATTGATTTTCACTTTCTTTTCTTTTCCCCTCTACCGATTTGGAAGTTATAAACTTAAAAAAAAAAAAAAGTACTCTCAGTAGTTACCTTTGAAATTTAAGTATACTACATAATTTAACAAAACTAAAGTCAATATCTTAACCCCTTTCCTAAACTATATTAGGCCCTCAAAAGACTTTAGTTCTAATTACTCTCTCTTAATTTACATGCTCTTAATTAGAATTTTTCTTTTATGTATTTTTAAGCCCCAGAAAATAACATTTTATCTAATATCATATCTATTCATATAGCTAATAATTATTTAGATTTACCTAGTTGTTTACTAACCTCTTTGCTTACCTTTCTCTCTTCTATCTCAAATTTTTCCTCTTGGATCATTTTCCTTCTTCCTGAAGTATATACTTTAGAATCTCGCTATTCAAAGTGTGCTCAATAATTCAACAGTATCAACACTGTATCACCTGGGAGCTTTTAAGACATACAGAATCTTGGGGCCCACTACAGACCTACTGAATCACAATCTGCATTTTAACCAGATCACCCAATGATTCAAATGCATGTTAAAGCAAAGTTTAGAAGCACTGCTTTCAAAATTCTGTTTGATGAAGTGTGTTGATATTAAACACAGTTTTTACTTTTCTAAAATTATCTTTATTTTACTACTCTCATTTTTGATAGTATGCTGGTTAACTGTAAGTTATTTTTTTCTCATCACTTAGAAGATAATGTTGCAGTGTCTTTTGGCTTTCATTATTAGTAAGGAGAAGTTGGCTGTCAGTCTTAGAGCCATTCCTTCATAGGGATTTTTTATTATCTCTTATTGCTTGCTCTTTTTTTTTTTTTTTTTGCTTGCTCAATTTTATGTCATTCCATTTTTTATTTCTTTAAACATATCATACATGGTTATTTTACTGTTTGATAATGCAGTTTATGAAGTCCTGACTTGGCATCTCTTTGGCTCCTTTCAAGGTTGTTGGCTTAAGAATTCTCAGATTCTGCTCCTTCACCTTGTGATAGGCCCAAGGCTTAAACTCAGATTTCTGTTTAAGCATTGATTAACTTTGAGTTTAGATGTGGTTTAGCACTTACAGCTCGTCTCTGGTTTCTGTTCTTTCGTTATTGGAATTTAACTCAGGGAGATTTCTTTTATTTCTGTAAGCCCAGTAATGTATCCCATCGTTCTGTAGTGGCAAGGTCCTTTATCTAATCTGCTGTAGTGCCAGAAACTTAATTCGATGAGTCTTCCCACTTTTTAATTCATTATAATTCAGCTTTGGTCTTATCATTCCACTGAAACTTCTCTTGCCAATGAAACATGACATCCTTGTTGCTAAAACCGATGGAAACATATTCAGACCTCATATTATTCCATCTTTCAGGCAACATTTGACATTCCTGACTATTCTTCCTTCTTAAAAGACTTCTTACCTTGGCTTCTGTCACATTGTACCCTCCTTTTCCCTCTATCTCTATAGCCACTTGTTCTTAAGACTCCTTTTCCTGGCCTTTAAAGTTTGGTTTTTTCAGAGTTCTAACCTAGAATCTCTTTTCTTATGACTCTTTCAAAAAATACGTGTAATCTGACTCCACCCTATGGTTTTCATTGTTCGCTGTAGACTGTTTACTAACAAATCTATACCTCCAGCACACATCTGTCTTCTGAACTCCACACGCGTACATATTTAAATATAGCTGGATGTCTCAAAAGATCCTCAACCTCAGTTTGCTCCAAACTAAATTATCTTCTTATCCTCCACCACACCAAAACTTTACCCCTACCTCAGTGAATGACCTGTATCAGTGAATGACAATGACAGTTGCCCAAATCAGAGATCTGGGAGTCACCCTCTTTTTTCTTTCTCTTAACACTATGTCTAGTTAATTGCCAGGGCAACTGATTTTGCATCTTCAGTCTCTCTCAATTCTATTCACTTCCCTGTTGATCTATGACATATCCTAGTCTAGACACTAAGATCTCCGTATGTCCAGTCTTGCTCTTCCGTTCAACCTAATATGCTATTTGAAAGATCCTTATAAAATGTGAACCTAATTATGTCACCCTCCCAGATTAAAACTCTTCAGTTGTTTCTCATTTCCTTTCAGATGAAGTTTAAATGACAGCTCATGCTTTACAAGGCCCTTTATTAGCCTGTTTCACTCTACTCTTCCTTTTTCTTGTACTCTATGTTCCAGCCACCCTAATTTTCTTTTGGCTCCTCTCATGTGGGGAAGCTTTCTCTTCTCCTGGCCTCTGTACGTATCATTATTCCCTCTCTACAAGCAGTAATCTCTGTGTTAATTCTAATTTTTCAGTACTCACCTTAAAAGTCACCTTCCTCTGAGAAGCTGCTCATCCCTGGTCCACCCACCACTCCAATCCTCACACACTCTTTAGTCGCTCAGATTAGCCTCTCAACTATAATAAAGGAACCCTTTTTTTATGAAGTCTGTTCTTGTGAGATGATGCAATCTAGAGAGATAGAGGAAATTTCTGATTACTTAAACAATGCCAGAAATCTTGTAAAAATGAGTAGAGAAAGCCAGTAGCACCAGAAAAGTAAGTGATGGGAGTAGCAGGAAAATGCCCTCAAATCATGAAAGAACTTTGAAAAGTATATTTTTTATGGAGAAAAATGTCAGTAGACATATAGATATGTTATAGCACCAAAAGATTATTTCCAAGATCAGTAACTTAAAACAGATTAATGGTGAGAATTATTGTAATAAAATATTACTCTAATTCAGTAGCAATCAAAATAGAATCTATGATATGGTTTATGGCAATTTTTCAAGTAAGATTCCATGTAATAGCACTATGTATATTTAATATACTCTTACATTTATTTCTTACAATTATGAATTAATAAGTTTCAGCAAGGATACTTTTCAGTTTCTTTGGGCCAGCTCTTTTGATATATGTCAGTAATTTAGCAAGTGTTAAATAATTAGCTTTAAAAATTTAATAATTTTAAATTATTTAAAAATTACTTCCTAGTAGTAGTATTTTCAATAAATTGAAAACATGCTTCTTTTGAGAACATATACACTAAAGAATCTCTAATACAAAATTTCAATAAATCTAGCATGGAAGTTTGATTGAGTCTCATGCAGGCATGCACATGTATGAATTTATATATGTACACTTACATGTATTTGGCAGGAGAGGAAGCAATAGAAAAATATGCAGGATGCAAAAATGTACTCTAGAGAAATATAAGCATAGGATATATACATTATAAGTTCAAACTCAATAAATTATCAGTTAAAATTTTATTACTCAGTAATATATGGTGGAATCAGTTTACAAATGATGTGGCAATGTTAGTTAAAAGTGGCAGGAAGGAATGCAACACTTAATGTGTCTAATAAATAAAACTCAGTGATTCATTAAATATTATGATACTGTGTAGGATCAAAAATTCCAACATTTCCATAGATCTTCAGTTGATATTTTTCAGATAAGCCAACTATTCTATGTAGGTAGGAAATTGCCTGCTGAGTCTACTTTAAAGAAGTTACTTTGGAAAATTAATGGTTTCACTATATATAAAAGCTGCAATGGATCCCAAAACGGTATACGCTGATATGGTCTCCATGAACAATAGAAAAAATTAGTCTACCATCTTGCTGTCATTTTGGCAACTCATTATATCAACCATTTTTTACAACTAGAGTACATATCCACACCGTAACAAATTTACAAACATTGTAAATATGGTCCATTTTCTTTGCAATAATCTTAATAATTGTGGTTATCTAATAATGTGCTTTTGTGTGAAATGATTTACTAAAATACTTAGATTTACTGTTTACTTAGTAAAAAGTAAATAAGTAGTCCCACTATTTACTTTATCTCAGAAATCAGACTTGCAGTTGGGCTCTAGAAATATTGAGTAGTCCTGTAGTCATTTCTGTCATACAGTCTTGAGGCAGAAGGAAATTAACAGAAAGGTGAATGTCAGTTTTACAGTAACTAAACACATGGTACCTAAGATATGGATCTAAAGATAGCCATATGTTATTATTTATTCAGTGTACGTGTGCTTTAGAGCTTACTATATCTCTTTTTTTCTTTATCTTTGATAGGCGTAGTTTAATTTGGCTTTGCATTATTGCAAAAGACAGATATCTCCTTTTCCCTTGGCTTAATTAGTCTCGAATTTATCTAAGAAGAGAGAAAATGATGCTCATTTCACAAGAGGTTAACATTAATATTAAGAAAAAAGTTTTTTTTTCTGACAATTCTATACTGTGTTTATTTTAACTAGATGTTTAAAAACACTACTCCTGAGAAAAAGTAAAAAGAACAGTTTTGATTAAAGAATAAAATTCCTTCACTGTTAAACCTAAACAGTTTTAAAATTCTACCATGGAACATAAAGTCAACAAGACTGGAATTCAGACTTTTGATGTCCATGGCAAACCTGAATATATGCTGAGCAGAAATAAAACACACATACTTGATAATACACAACAGTAAAAAGTATCAGAAATTGATGCACCTGGATTTTGTTAAATATAACTAAGGTCACTCAGTCCTTCATGAATAAACCTAGCTAGGAGAAGAGCACTGGATAGCACTGAACAGTATTGCATCAAGCAGAGATCCCACAGAAAGGCAGCGCTGGATTCCTGTTTAGATAGGCACAGACTTTGTTTCAGAACATTCAAAGATGTAAGACACATTTGGAAATACTATGAATCCTGTATTCATGAAAGCAAAAAGTTCTGACCACTTTGAAAACTGGAGTAAGTCACTTGAGTTCTTTTTAGTTACAGCTACCCTTCATGAAAAATAAAAAACCAAAACCAAACCCATTGCTGTTGAGTCGATTCTGACTCACAGCAACCCTAGAGGACAGAACAGAACTGCCCCATAGGGTTTCCAAAGCTGTAATCTTTACAGAAGCAGACTGCCACATCTTTCTCCAGTGGAGCAGCTGGTGGGTTCAAACCACCAACCTTTCAGTTAGCAGCTGAGTGCTTAACCGATGCTCCACCAGGGCATGAAAAATAAGAGCTCACTATGCAGCAAAGCAGCATTATGACAAAGTATTTATATACCAGAGAAGGCATTAAAGGCTCTGTAACACGAGTCAACTCAAGCCAAGATCTAAGAATAATTTTCTAGTTCATGTGGCGAAAGTGCATAGAAGTGGAAAACTGCCTGCACAACAAGGATCCTCTCACAGTATTAAGGCCTGTCCACATAGGAATGAGTCCATTTTTAAGTCTGCACAGTGAAAACTAGGCAGTGACTTCTGACACTGGGCATAGCCCTTGGGGTCTTCTTCAGCATGCCTCCTCTTATTCAAACTGTCGCTCTTCCTCTTCATCTGCTTCTTCAATGACCTGAATATCATCTGCTTGAGGTAAGGAAGAATTGTCCACCTGCAGTTTATTCCCATCAGCTTTACATTTTTCTTCTTCCTCTATGATTTCCTTCCATATCTTATGGTTTTCGGTGAGGTGGTGCATTAGTTGACAAAAGATTCGCCGTCTGCCTTTCCTTCTTTGTGGTTCTGTCAAATTTAAAACATATATTCTAATCATGGCAATATGATTCAATCATCCATTCAACAAATATCTGAGGGCCTATTATATTCCAGGTACTCATCTAACCACTGGGGTTATAGTAGTAAACAATAAGTTAAATATAACCCATGCCCTCGTAGAGCTCACATTCTAGTGGGAAGACCTAGACAAATAAAGAAGTAAAATAAGAGTATGTTAGATGGTGTTAAATATTATGGATAAAAGTAAAACAGAGAAGGGGTTTAGGTAATTCTAAGTGGGAGTAGAGGGGAGGGGAGGATGGTGCTGAAATGTCAAATGATGAATGATAAGAATTCAAAGTTTAAAACTAGCCTTTTTAGGATTTTTAATGCATTAAATTAGACACACTTACCAAAATTTTGGTTAAGTATAAGTAATTTTTAAAAGCCAGTCAACCTTTCCAAGTTAAGATACTCAGATGGTAATGGCATAAATTACTGTTTGCTATGCTAATCTTGGGTACAAAGTGTTTGGATGGGAGGTTCTCTATAGTCCTCAGATCTGTTCTGATTTATAGCATGCTTGGGAAACAAACAAAAAATTAGCTAGATACAATTTAAATCTTACTTTAAAATAAAGCACAAATAACTGATTGTATACACAATTACAAAGGCAATAAATGTTTCTTTTTCATTTTCCATCTGAACTCATTCCTCATATAGAAAAATATGTCCTTACGGTTTGGTAATTCATAATACTACAGAACTTGGTTCTCCCCTTAGAGCCATGGAATATATGTCTCCTCCCCGCCCCGCCACTAATGTTTTGGTCCATTTTCCAAATCTGTGTAAAGAGCACATTAGCAAGATGTTTTGGAAGTTGTGCTCCTCAGCTGCCTGGCAGGGGTGAAGGACTCATGATGTGGAGAGGGTGAGATGAAGGAGGATTAGTACTAGGACCCACCCATCTCACGTATGTTCAGATGTGGTGACAATCTTATGTATAGGTAAGCTGAAGAGTACTGATTCGAGGAGAGTACCTCAGAGATGCTACTTTAAGTGAGATGTAATAAAAATGCTTGTTGTGTGACAGCATTAGCATGGTACCCAATAGTTATTCAAAATGTGACTACTGAATATGAACACTTAGTAACTACTCAAAATATGACTACTGAATCTGCATCTTAGAAACAAAGATCGAAATCCAAATTAAATGGACATTTGCAGTTAATAACACTAAAGAAATCATAGTATCCCTGTATTCTTACTAGAATTTAGAGTGTCTTCCATTTCTTCATCATCTGTATCTAATTCTTCACCATCTTCTTCCTCATCACCACTTTCAATATCATCGTCCTCTTCCGCTTCAATCCACTCGCCAGGTAGTAAACCAGCAGCATCATAGGAGTTACACAGGGGCCCCACTATGTGGGTGATAAAAGATTCTTGGAGTTTTGCTAGTTGAGGAGAGGAACGATCCATGAAGGGACTGATAGGCAGACCAAGATTCGCTTCTTCATCTCCCTGATCATTTTTAAAAGAACAGCAAATTTTTAACTGTTGAAAGCACAACCACTGAGCTTTGCTGTTAAAATTATCTTGAGGTGTTTAAATCAGCATAGTCTACATCAAAGTAATTTTTACAAAGAAGCATCGATGAATCTAATTAGTCTATCCCTTCAACTGTAATAATTTCCCGTTTGAAAAACCCTAAACAAGACTAGTCTCACATTCTTTTCCATCTCAACCTGCAAAATTCTGTAATATAAAATATAAATTCTCTTACTCCTGGGGGAAGATAGTATAATGCAAACATTTTTGTTGTTCTAGCTGTACCTGAAATGTCCAGAGTTGAATTTTGCAAGTGCTTTTCAAATCATCCCTCCTCTTTTTAACAGCAGAACCCTTTAACGTAATGAACATAAATCAGAAGACCCAATATTTAAAACAGACAGAAGTAGAGCTCCTGTGGTTTAAATGAGGATTCTAGTCCCAGAGCCCCAACTGCCTGCCTTCTGATACGCTCTCACTGTGGGCTCTAGGGTTCTGGAGAACACAATTTGAGATCAATTTGAGGTAGTTTCAAAACCTGCTTTTGTCACTTACTGCCTGTGTTGTTGGGCAAGCGCTTTGTTCAATTTCTTCATGTGTAAAATGTGAATAATAATAATCTACCTCATAAGGTTGCTATGAGGGTGAAAAGCAATAGTACATGAAATGTTTAGAACAGTGCTGAGCATTCCCCAAATGGTACTATTAACATTTTAGTTCCTAGTGTCTGAACTGGCTGGGGATGAATACTCCCCACAATGCACTAATTCTGCAGGGAAGCAAGGTCTATCTGTGATGAACCAACATGGTCCTGAGGGAACAACCAGAAACTGTCCCAGTGATTTAAAATCTTCTATGATTTTATCTTTTATAAGGAAGAAAATTGATTATTGTTTTTTCAAAAAATAGTTGAGTTTATCCATAGGACTCTTTGTAATTTCATAGGTATCCCAGGAGTTTGGATTTCCTAAGCCCATGATGCTTAAAGGGCTATAGAAGCATAAAGATATCTATTTGGATAATTTAAAAAAAAAAAAAGTTGGGCAAGGTTAGAATTTTGCATCCATATCTGAAGGAAGTTTACTAGTTCTCATGAGTAATGGCTAGGACTTTCATATACACTAGCACATTTAACTTTCATGACAACTCTGTGTGGTAGGGTGTCAGATGACATTATCCTCCTTTGACAAATGAATAATCAAACTTAGATTAAGCGAAACTGTCTAATATATTGTTTTTAGTGGTAGCTCTGGAATTATAATAGCTACATTTATTGAGCACATATGTGTAGGAACTAGTCTAAGCACTTTACATGTATCAGTTCATTTAATCCTATTTTATCAATGAGGAAACTGAGGCACAGAGAGGTTAAGTAACCTACCCAAGGCCATAGTGTTAGTAAGGAAGAGGGGAGCCATTATTCAAACTAAGGCATGACTTCTAAGTTTGATTGCTATGTATTCTATATATGCTTTTGAAATAATTATAAATTAGGTCCACATGAACTTTTATAATGTGATATTACCGAATTAGTGACTTTTTTATAAGAGAGGATATAATATTACTTTTTTATTACTTCTGTTTGTACAGACAATACAAAGATGGCATTTTCCTTAGCATAAAATTCCTCTTTTGTGAACACAAGGTCTACTGGAGATCTCTGAGGCGGGTTTAAATTATTATTAAGAATGAGGATGGGAATATGAAAACCGCTTATTGCAATCTACAGATTGGCAAATGTTTATAACCATTTATTATACCAAATTCCATATAATTTAGTTCAAATATATCAGAAAATGATATTAATAACCTTGAGAAACTTGTATTTCCATGATTACACAGTATGGTATTTTATAACTTTACATTATTGTATTGGGATGTTTAGCTAAGGTGGATGAAAGATACTACACATTTACTGGTCATTCAATACAATCTGAGAGTGACAAGATATAACAGGTTAGAGACATGGTTATATAGGCTCAATTTACTGACTCTTACTGGAGTAGCAACTCATGATAAAAAAGCCCTATCACAAGGGCCTCACTTGGTAGACATCTTGATCTTTCCTGGTTACTAAGGCCAACAAGGAATGCAATTCCAAAGTCAAGAAGGAGTATTTGATATTTTGGAGTTAACAAAATATTAGGCTTGTGGGGAAATCAGTATACTTTACATTGTAGTGAGCCTTAAAGCTAGAGAAAAAATGGTACGGATAATGCAAAGTGGTAAGATTTTTTAAATGCCAGGATTTTTTTTTAATTTGGGAGAAGAAAAGAGCATGTTTATATCTTGGAATCCTTGAAAACCACTAAACATCTACTCTGTCCCCATTTCCAGCCCTCTAATTTATTTCTTAATTTTTACCAGGACTTCTGTCCAGTTAATGTTTCTACGGCAGTTAGTCTTTCTATATCAGAAATTGAAAATGGGTTGATATTATTTAAATATATTCTGATTCTAAATCACTTAAAAACTACTTCATCTGGAAATAAATTATTCTAGGTTACAGACTCTCAGAGTTGAAAGAGATATGATGTAATCTCTCCTCACCTCTAGACACAACAGTTCATTCAACCCACTCCAGATGGGCAATAAGCTATTTTCTAATTGTTGTTGTTGTTTTAAATTTTTGCAGCAAAGGCAAGCAAAGCTGGGAAATATTAAGAACCTGAGCAAATATAAGACTTACTAACTCCTTTTGGCCAAAGCAGCTCAGATCTCAAGCACTTAATGTAGCTATTCATATCTCAGAGAGTAGTCTTTATGTGGCAGCTCTTAAAAATCTCAACAATCTAATATTTCAACTTACCTGCTCATAAAATTCATTCACAATGCCTTCTGTCCATTTCAAATGCAAGTTCCGAACTTTTGCAGGGCCGTTTATATCTGCTAGTTTCATGCATACCTGGCACACTAAGAGGCGATCATTTTCATTACTCCATTCTATACCATTACTATTTACATCATTGGCCTATTTTGGAAAAAGAATTATTTTAGGTACTGAGGTACAGAAATATTTCACCAAATTATCTTAAGACTGTTTCCTGTCCAAAGTATAGGAAGAAATTTCAGTAAATGCTTCTTTAAATCAGTCCATAATATGGACCACTATCATTCTGATTAAATTTCCCATTTGAAGTGTCACTGTAATTTTGTTTCAGTGGAAGCAGAGCCCTCTAAAAACATGTAACAAACCATGGGTTTCAATATTATGATTACCACAGAAAATCATTTTATATATACATATATATAATATGTAATATGCATATGTATGTATAATATCAATAAATCGTGAGAATTGTAGCTATATAGTTCTACCTCAAAAAAAAAAAAAAACACATAAAAAGCTAATGAGAACTTGACGCTAGCTGTGAAAGATAACCATGATATAGTTGAAAGAACACATGCCTTAGAGGCTGATCTCTCTAGTTTTAAATCTTGACTTAGCCTGATTTAATAATTCACTGTGGAACACTGAAAAAATTACTTAACTTCTTTGAGTCTTACTTTCTTCATGTATAAGATAGGAAAAAGTAATACCAATCTAGTGGTATTGTCATAAGGATTAGTAAGTAAAAAATGTCTAATTCAGAGTAAATAAATTGTAACATTATTTAAATAAATGATAATTATCATTATTATTTAGGCAAATTACTATGCCTTTTAAGAACTCAGATGGCCACTTGTAAAAAATAAAGAGAATAGGTCAGATCAGTGGCTTTTGAACTTTACTATGATGGTTGATTTCTTTACATCTTTTTGTCAGAGGAAGATTTATATGGAATACTAACACAGAAAATAATTAAAAGGAGAGCTCTTTTGGTTGAAACTGGGTAGGACATCTAGAGCCCCACTCAAGTGGCATTTTCTTGAGGGACTACAGAACAGAAGTCTCTTAGGAACACAGATTCAAAACTATTGGGTTAGATATTCTTTCACCGGTAAAAACTTCTATTACTCTGACTTAAACACTTATGAATTTTTATTATTAAAATGAAAATAAAAGTTAATAGAACTATGAAATAACTTTCAAGGAACACTGCTTTCTTGGTGATTTTTTAAAGTATTTTATTAATATCACAACAGCAGTATATATGGGGGTTTCCTTTCCCAGGGTTAATCTAGTACCCCTTCTTTGTTACCAGTTCCTCAACCCTGAAGGTACAGCTTCTTTTAGGTCACTGAAGTCATCAAGAAAACAGCAGCTCCCTGCTGACAAAAGAGGGGAATCTCTCCCTCAGGAATCTAAAGCAGTGGTTCTCAACTTTTTTTCACCCCAAATGTCTGAGGGATAGAACATATTTCCATTAGTACTACTATCATACTAGGACAGTGAATCTAGATTCCCTAGTGAATGTGAGTTCTTTGACGAAAGGGGCTTTTACTTTTCTCTCCTCATTTTCCTTAGCACAATGACTGCACAAGTGGGCAATCCCAGTAGTTTCTGAATGAATGTATTATTCTCACATGGAAGAAGGTAGAGTAATTTTCCTCCCTAACACCAGTCAGTTAAGAATCACTAATATAAAGAAGATTAACAGTTGTGGGGAGGTAGGCATAACTGGCTTCTAGAAACACATCTTTAATTCCACATAATGCCTTACTTGGCACTGTGCACAACTTTCTGAAATTGGCCCATGAAAGCTTTTGCCATAATTCATTAGTTTGTGATTATGTGAAAGAAAATCACAATATAAATCTATGTGTCAGAAAGGAAATATAACAAGAAATAGTATTTTAGGACATGTTACCATAATAGTAAAAAATGTTTTATCTTAAAAAAATAGGCAAATATATTCTTAATATCAGACACAGTGACTTCATGAATAGTATTAATTCTAACTTCACATTAAAAAACACCTTTTATCAGTAACACTAACAGTAATGATTTGTATTTTTAAAATCAGGCATTAATTTGTAGAACAAACCTTGGCATTGAATTCAGCAAGGAAATCAAAATGCTTTTTAAGATCTGTGGCAAGGATTGTTTCAATGACTAAGAAACGAAAGCGCTTGAATTCCACATGATCAAGATTAAGAAGAAAGTTGTACTCTGGGCGAGAAAGGTAGAGATTCCAAGCTGATGCAGCATGATGATTTTCAAGAACAGATCTATCATTGTACAAAACTGCCTAAAGAGGAATAAAGAAAAAGAATTAGCGCAGGGAGTAAAGTAAGGAGACTAGGTAAGAGGCTATATTTTTTCATAGCTAAACTCTGTAATCAATCTCATTTCCATTCCAGCACTCCCCATTGCTTCATCTATTAACAATTCTTAACAATGAGAAGTTAGAAATAACATTTATAGTTTCTCTCAAAGAAATTCTTGCAAAATGGGTAAATATTAACTATATTGAAATATATCAATGTTACCAGTGGAAATCATGAGCTATTAACAGATAAGCTCTCATTGGAGAAAATAAATCACGTAGCCCTTTTAACCTATTCACACACACACACACACACACACACACACACACACAGAGTCACACACACAGTGAATCCTACTCTTGTTCTGGGTAGAGTACTACATTTTTAAAAGTCAGAGAGTATGAAACAGAAATGAGAAAGCAACACAGAAAACGGCTATAGAAGATGAAAGAATCAAAACTGAGGTTTAGACATAGAGTGAAAGTGAAAGAATTCAGATCAATTCAGCAAACAATTACTGAATACCTTCCCTTTTTAAGGCATGAGGCTGGAAACACAAAGATGACATTTCAGGAATCATCAGCCTAAACACCCACAACCGCAATGAATTCTACCTAAAACCATGTTTTTAGTTCCAAGTTCTGATGTTTAAAAACCTATTACAGTATCTGTTTGTTGGGTACTTCCACCTCTTTATGCAAATTGTGACTCTAAAGGAATTTAGCACCTTATCAACTATACTGGATACAAAAATAATACTAGAAGAATTTTCATATACACTAATACATTCAGAGCTAAGAGGTTTAGGGTCTGAGTATTAAGGCATGTCTTAGGGAAAAAAGAGGACAACAACAACAAAAACCTCCTCAACCATTATAGCTTTCAGCCATACATAGGAAGAGTCTTAGATCTAGTCAAAGAGTTTCATAAATTTGATGAAAGGCAAAAATATAGACAGCATGCACCCCAGAATGTCACAAAGCTGTGAGTTACTAGTTTATGATTTATTTTCTAGTTGAAGAAGGTGATGGTTTTCCTGATTCCCTATCACACATCATGCCAATACCATGTGTTATTATCCAGTTGACTACAATGTAAGGTCTTAGAAGGAGTCCCTGGTGGTGCAAATAGTTAATACGTTCAGCTGTTAACCAAAAGGTTGGCAGTTTGAGTCCACCCAGAGGCGCCTGAGAAGAAAGGCCTGGTGATCTACTTCTGAAAAGTCTGCCATTGAAAACCCTATGGAGCACAGTTCTACTATGACACACATGGGGTCACCATGAGTCAGAATCAACACAATGGCAACTGGTTTGGGTTATAGATGAAATAGCCATATGATTCAGTTGAATGATTTACAAAGAGATATACAGCATGATTGTAAAATTTCAGAATTAATGTGTAAACTTTCTGAAAAAGTACTTCCTACCTGAGGGGCATTTGTAGCCACTAGAAATGCATTTGTTCGCCCTGGGTGATCGTAATCATGCATGGCAGCTGCCACGTATAGAGCCATCAATTCCAATGCAGGAATGTTTGAAGACAGGCAGCCATAGCTCTCATCCGGAATAGAGCAGCTCTTTGAAGAAATGTAAGCAATTCGTCCAGGGTTAATTCTCCCATCAGAATCTGAGGAACAATAAATAGCAAAATAAATAGCATTAACACATAACTTCCCCACAATTATGTTAAGGAGGGGGCTGCCCATAGTTAGTATGATTACGAATTTTTTGACCTACATAAGAAATAGACCCTATTTAGAAGCATGCACTTAAAACAGTATTATTATTTTCAGCATAGATGCTAATAGAGAGGAACAGTGTTAAGTATGACCCTTTACAGGGCATGATAGGATTCTCATGCCAGCTTGATGCTGTATTACTCAGGCTAAATACAAAACACAACAAAACAGAACAACGCAAAAAACAAAAAATCGTTATTTTCAAATATTTGTTATTTAAGGGCTAGATATAATGGCCAGGGTATAGGAAGTGACAGGAAAAGATAATAAAATTTGATAAAAACAGTACAGAGTTTTAGGAATTTAATATATTACCAAACTAAGCTTCTTAATATAGATGCTTTTCAAATCTCTCTCAGACAGATTATATTTCATTTGTAACTGCGACTACAACCCTTCTTTCTTTTTCTTCCCTGAATTCCCTTATAACATAATGAATAGGCATGGAAACCTGAGGAATATATCAGTCAATATAACTCTATTTTTATTTTCTCTTTAGAAACAACACCGTATTTCAGTGTGCTTTTGGTGTCTCCCTACCTTATAATTGATTTCTTCCTTTTTTGTATTTCAGTGGCTTTATCTATTTAAATGGTCACTATTTATTATTATTGCTGAAGGGATCTCAAGAAAGTATAAAAAAGAAAAAAGGAATTCTATTTAGAGTAAACAGCAAACAAAACCACAAGATTAGGGGGATACAAAATTCCATTGGTTGTGTTCACCAGTGGAACTTAGGAATAATGACCTTGGTTTGTCACAGTCCAAAATGATTTTTGTATCATAATTTAACTAACTCAATATTTGTCATCCCAAGAATTTTTTTTAACATAATGGCTTTAGTGCACACAAGTGATAATTATAAAGATAACTCATTATCTTCATACTGTTTAAATTATATTTTGAACCTAAACTGAGTTTTAGAATCACCCTACTACAGCTATTTTAAAAATAAATTTTAAAAAATCCATACTTAAACGTATGGATAAGGACATATTTGAACATTCAAATTTCTAATAAGAAGACTTTAGTTATTAATATCAGAGCCAATACGTTCAGTTTTTTTCTATGCTATATGTATTCTGGATTTGCCCTAGAATTTCAAAAATATAAAAAAAATCAAAAGTAGCAAAAGGTATCCTTTTAAAGTCAATAATTAGACTTGTCATAAAAAAAGAAAAAAAACCAAACCCATTGCTGTTGAGTCGATTCTAACTCATAGCAACCCTATAGGACAGAGTAGAACTGCCCCATAGGGTTTCCAAGGAGTGCCTGGTGGATTTGAACTGTTAACCTTTTGGTTAGCAGCCAAACTCTTAACCACTATGCCACCAAGTTTTCCTAGACTTACCATAGTAGGATCGTAATACATTAGTTTGTATATGTTTAGTATTAGTAGTGTGAAAAATTAGTAGTGTGAAATTAGTAGTGTGAAAAAGAATATAGCTAACAAGGACATATTCAATTAAACCTATTTATTTATATAAATATAAAACCATCCAGTTTATTTGCTTTCTTTCAGAACACGGTGATTCTTTTAATTAGCTACTTAATTTAGAGAAGCCCTGGTGGTGCAGTGGTTAACTAAAAGGACCTCAGTAAAAGGCATCCAGATCAGAAAGGGGAAGTAAAACTATCTTCTATTTGCAGACGACATAATCTTGTATATAGAAAATCCCAAGACATCCACTAAAAGTCTATTAGAACTAGTAAATAAATTCATCAAGGTTACAGGGTACAAGACCAATATGCAAAAATCAATTTATTTCTACACATTAGCAATGAGGCCCCTTGATGGCTGAGTGCTGCTGTCCATGCCAACTTTACAGACTGGCTGTTTAGAAAATTCATCATGGGCAAGACAAGAGGTAACATAGTGCCCATGGTCAAGTATTCAAAATCTACCAGAGCCCAATAACAATCTAGCACCTGTTTCACAAAAAAGAGAATACTTATTTGAGGAAGGAGGCTTTGTTTTACCTCAAAACCCTAAGGATTTACACTGTGATTCCCTTGTAAAGATCTTCCAGGGGCTGCCCAGGGGATCACTATCTGCCAAAGATACTTTGAGCACTGCTTGATCTATTGGGACTTATATGGCCAAGTGGAAGAGCAGCTTGAACAACAACCTGAAACTGCTTTATAGACTTTTCTTGCTCTGGATAACACATAAAATTCACTGCCTCATAGTTAATGAACAGTTAGTATGTTTACTCTAACTATGCACTCAGAAAATGGATGGGTCCAGGGAACTAACACTGTGAGAGGAACCCAGGCCAAAAGTCCATTTGTCACCTAAATTCCATCAACTCCTACTCTAGCTAGTGGACCCAAGTGGTGTTTCACTCTCCAGGAATGAATGTTGCAATGTATTTCTGAACACCTTGATGAAGGGGGACACTCCTGAGGGATATAGTTAGGAATAGGTGAGAAGACCTATAATCAACTTGTTTTACCATCCTATTGTTGTTAGCCTTTAGATTCCTTCCTCTACAGTACACTGTACAGAGAAGAAAACATGACAGGTCAGCAGTCTTGGTTATACTCTAGCTCTTAAGATAGGTACCAGATTTCCAAAGTTTTCATGTCATCATTACACATCAAAACTTACATAGCCCTTTACATGTCTCAAAGGTTACTTAACAAAAAACTTAAAAGAACAGCATTAATAAAATAAGACAGCTTCATTTATTATTTCTAATCAAATAATTAAATGAAAGATTTGTGGAAGGAAGTACCTGCTTCATTTCCTGTTCCATGATCATTGTGAATCTGCGGAAAACCAGGAATTGGCCGTGTTGTCAGATACCAAACTGCATGTAGGACATCTGTGGCATGTATACGATTGTGATCTAAAGTCACCAAAATGTTTTATAAAAATGAGCATTCTGTTATATTTCACATAAGACATTTTAAAAGTACAAGAATTTTGTAGTCATACTATATCATCAAAACTAAAATTTTTAACTTAAAATAACTTCTCACAATTCTATTTTGCTTCACTTATTTTATTTTTAAAGTCTCTTGATATGTTAAAATGTTTTATTTTAAAAACTTACACATATACTATAAAAACATAGCAAAAAAGCCAAAGAAAAAGGCAGGGTAACTAGGGCTAATTGAAAAGCATTGGAAAATAGGTTGTTATTTTGTAGTTTTTAAAAATATCATGAAACTAGTTTCTGGATTATAGAGCCCCATATTTGCACCCAAAACAGAAGACGTACACATTCTAGATACTTACACTGTCACCAGAAAAACCCCAAACAATCGAACAAAAAAACCAAGAGGATGAAAAATACCTATTTCTTAGGGTTGCTATAAGGATTAAATGCTATAGTTTGTGAAATCACCCAGTATGGTGTCTGAAACATAGTATGTCATCAATGAAACACCGGTTTATTCAAATACCACTATGTGAAAAGGCCCTGTGGCATAATATAAAGAATATAGACTTTAGAAGTCAGATAGATGCAGAACTGAAATCCAGCTGTGCTATTTCTAGGTTTATGATCTTGGGAAAGATCCTTTTTAGTTTTTATTTCTCACCTATAAAAGGTAGATGATACAACCTTTCCAGCAAAGATTAAATGAGATAACCTACTTGAATCTAATGATTACAGTTATAGCAGATATCCAATAAAAGCTCAACACCTCTTTAATGAGTACCTTCTATTAAGCATTAACAGATGACACAATACTAAGTGTTCAGGCTATACAAATGACATGGTGTCAACCCACTAGGAGTTTGTTATTAATATAACCAACACCTTTTTTGACCATTTACTATGTGTCATGAATTCTGATATGTGCTTTACACAGATTAACTTATATTATCACTTTCCAAGGGGCAGTACTATTGTTATTCCCATTTATGAATTTGGAAGCTGAAGTTGAGAAAAGTTAGCCTAGAGCCTGTTGTGTTAAACAATATACCCTTATTAGCGCTGCCGGTAAAGACCCCTTACCAGCCACCTCTTTCCTTTCACTCTTTCTCTTGAAGTCCATCTTAAAGTATCACTTTATTCCATTCATAAAATTCAACCACTTTCACTTTTTAAAATGCATACTCTGTATGTGGAAATTCTAATAAGTACATCATCTTAAATTATTAAACATCATTATTAATGAGTTATGCCAATTTAAGAATAATTTGCTCTGTGTATGTAATTGATTTCCCAAACAAAGAATGTATCCATATGGGAACTATGGAATGTCTTTACATAAAGAGAAAGCTGTATCTTTTCCTAACATGAAATTCAAATCATATTCTACCATAAAATCAAACAGCCATTAAAAATTATCCCATAAATCAGAACAGAGTTAAAAACAGAAATTCCAAGGTAAATTTAAAACATTTTAAAGTCAAGAATTTTCTGAAACTCTTGGCTTATTTAATATTACCAAATATTTAAAAAGATACTATACTTCGATCAATAATTATTGACATGTAAAGATGTATACTATATAACATTTAAGTGAAAAGAACAGATTATAAGTAGGTATCAATATTATGACCTACTATAATAAATCAATTTATATAAGAAAACAGTCTTGGAGGATATATATACCAAAATGTTAACAACAGTCAGTTAACCAAAGGTAGTGGAATACAAATTTTCTTTTTAAATCTTTAGGTTTCCCAAACATGTAATTAAAAAAGTGTTTAAGGGACTATCTGAAGGGAAAAATAATAATTTCAAAACAAGTATTACTTGAACTTAATAAGATATGTTAATACTTACAAGGAATGTCTCGATAGCCATTTTCTAATGCATGAAAATAGTTCATGAATTGTTGAGTGGGAATTTTAAATATTTCCAATAAGCCAGTGTCTTGAAATAAGGTATACATAACCTAAATATCAATTAAAATAAAGTTCACTTTAAAAATCAGAATTTCTATTTATAGCTGAGTATGTTTTGTGATTTACATTTAGGAATGTCAACCATGTATGTTTCTTTAAGTTAATTCATTAAAAACTCCCTACAATGAATTATTTCCAAAAAAAAATGGAAAAGGGAGACATCATCCTTAAAGCACTTAAAAGCCAAAGAAAGACTGCAACATCATGCCCCAATTTTTAAATTTTCCTCTTTAGTGATTTACTGAATGGCATGTGAATTCTATTTTATTCTAGTCCTAGGTGTTAAAAGAAGTCAGATACATATAATAAATTTTGTCTCTAAAGACTTTGGTGAGATAAACTTATATGCCCTCTACATTATTTATCCTTATGTTCTTGCACTTCATAAGTAAGTATTAGAGGAACTAATGAGAGTGATATTTTGGGAAGGTTAATCTCAAGCTGTTATTCAGAACCCATGAGGGAGAGCTTTGAGTCAAATTTCTAATGAAAATTTTTTTGTGAAAAAATAAATAATTCAATGAACAATGTTGAATTAGTGCCTAAACCAATATAGTACATTTTCCAGATATGCTCTTTTTATTAAAAAAAAAATCATAATTAAAAACGAGATTTTAAACACACCTGACTAAGAATCCTTCCTGATTTCTCTCCCATCTTTTCTACAAGTTCAAAGATTTGAAAATTCCAGTTGCTCATCTTTTCTATTAATGAGTCATGATCTTCTATTAAAATCAAGTCCAGTGATGACTCCTGTTCAATCTGTACATATAGGAAAAATAAACCATTACCTTACCTTTTATAAATAATGTTAAATGCACATCTATATGAGAACACTTAATACTGAACATTAAAAAATACTCTGTGCTGTAGGGTCGCTATGAGTCGGAATCGAGTAGATGGCAATGGGTTTGGTTTTTTTGGTGCTATTTTCTATAATGGTTATTCTCAAATGTACTCATTCATACGTCCTATCTCCCTGTAGAATGTTATCTTCAGACTACTATAAACATGTCTTCTAGGCAACAGAGGACTTACTAATCTATACATTACTTTTATAAATAAAAATGTTGTAATATTTCCAAATCATTCTCATTTTAGAAATTACAGGTATCAAAGGGTTCTAGAAAGAAACTCATATCCTTATAGTGGCATTTATTAGCAGGGTAACTTCCCAAAATGAAGAGATGGGCTTTTTTTTTCCTCCTAAAATGCTTAAATTTTGAACTTTCAGAACAAAAAAAAATTATTAACAATAAGTTAATAATAGATTATTTTCATTGCTTTCAATGACAATGCACATGTTCTCTGTATTTTAAAATACACAATAAAGAAAATATCTAAATAGAAAATAATATACTCACTATATAACTAAATAAAATATGTTCATTTAAAAATGAATGTAGTTTGTTGTTCTTGAATGACGTAAGTTTAATTACTATTTTTAAACCAGGGTTTTCTTTCCTATTTCAGTTATAGTTAGTTTTCAGTAAAAAATTTAAAAAATCATTATATTAATAACCCGTTCATGGCAAAAATAATGAAACTAGTACACACTAGTATTACATTTCACCTTAACATATCGCATTTAAAGTTTATCTCTTACATTTGGTTGTTGTGCATTCTGTGCCTCTTCTATTAGTTGACCATCAACTTCCAGAAATAACTGTTTGCAGTCTCTCCTCTCTGTTTTCTCTTCTTGTTGAGTCTCTGTAAGTTTGAATGATTCTTTCGAGAAAATGGTATTTTTTTCTTTACCTTTCAAAAAAAGAAATATAGTAATAAACAAATAGGAACAAACTTTGCCCCACATGGAAAGTTTCATAAGAGAAATGGTTATTTATAAAAAATATTCATATAAAGTGAACCATATTGGCATTCAATCTAAATTACTTAATGACACTATTAAATGACACTATCATGCTGGATTATTTTGCCCAGATACCTGTGCTCAGGCAACTCAGACATTCCACATATTAGACTCACCTTATATCTAATCATGAATCAAAGAAGTGTGGATATTCTTTATAAAACTGAGAAACAGTAGAAAAAGACCCTATCAATAGGAACTTCCTTATCGTTTTGATGGAAACTATTTCCAACATCTTTGATTTTGGATATGAAAATTTTAAATTCATTTTCACAAATGAATGAGATTATGCCACATCTAGACATTAAGCTGCAATATCATATTTCTCAACCAATGTGATTAACAATATTCTTTCTCCCAAATCACACAGTAAAACAGGAGCGCAGTGGGGAGCTTAACGACATTCATTGATACATTTAAAAAAAAGTTCATATTTATTCTATTTGTAATATCCTAAAAAGGAAATTACTCTAAAACCCATCAACAGTAGAATGAATAAACAAACTGTGGCATACTCACAAAACTGAAGACTACAGAGCAAAGAAAATGAACTACAATCACTTGTAATAATGTGGATGATTCTTAAAAAACACAATGTTGAATGAAGGAAGCCAGACACAAAGGTACATACGCTATGATTCTCTTTATGCAAAGTTCAAAAACAGATCAAAACTGAAACATATGAGTACTGAAAGACAGGAAGATGGTTACTCTTGGAGGATATGACTGCAAGGGAGCAGGAGGGGAGACTCGGGGGTGCTGGTAACATTCTATTTCTTAATCTGGATGCTGATCACACAGGTATGTTAAATGTATGAAAATTCATTAAGCTATAATCTTATGATCTGTGTACTTTACAATATATATGTTTTCTTTTAAGTAAAAAGATTTTTAATAGTACTTATTGGATTTGAGTTTCGGAAGAACTAGGTTCAAATCCTGATTTTTGTCATTAATAATGGCATGTTCTGCCCACTGTAAAATGTCTCCAAATAGCTATTTTGTGTATTTTACCAAACTTTTATACTTGTTCTCAGTGGGAATGTAGGTCTGATACTTTAGTTGGAAGCAGAATTAGATTACCTATTTCTTTATTATTATTATTGTGTTCTTTGCACACTATGCTGGCAAAATTGTTTGTAGGATTAATCTGAGACCCTGCATAATGTGATCTTCCTCCAGATCAATTTCTTCTGCCCGATCCCTGGATGCACTGACAGTCTAGCATCATATTAATTCAAATTCAGAGACTGAGATGAGCCTATAATCCCTGAAAGAGCGTATGATTTCTAATTTTTCTTTCATTTATTTTTTTTCCATACAAAAAGTTTATACATACATTGTTATGTGACTCTACTTGATCTCCCCATACTGTGACAGCACACTCCTCTTTCCACCCCTGATTCCCCATGTCCATTCAACCAGCTCCTAACCCTCTCTGCCTTCACATCTCACCTCTGAACAGAAGCTGCCCATTTAGTCTTTTGTATCTACTTGAGCTAAGAGGCACACTCCTCATGAGTATCACTTTATGTCCCACAGTCCAGTCCAATCCCTGTCTGAAAAGTTGGCCTCGGAAATTGTTTTTAGTTCTGGGCTGATAGAAAATCCAGGGGCCATGCTTTCCAAGGTTCCTCCAGTCTCA